ACGGCCTCCGCGCGCACAAGTGGGAAGGAGGCAGGAGGGGAGAACAGCGAGGCAGCACTGTGCCCGGGCAGTTAGAAAGGCTCCGGCAGACCTTGGCACCCAGGATTTACGCCTTGTCCTTCCCAGAGCACCGGAACAGACGCTGTACCCTCATTTCTTCAAGCTCAGCGCTGGAAATCGCTGACCTTGACTAACAAAAGCAGAAGATAGTCTCTTTTGTTTACCCTTGTGTTTTTACCTCCTTTTGCTAGCTACAGCACACAAAGGAAGCATGCAGATCTTTTAAAGCGCGATGCTTCCACCCGGGGCTGTAAGACCTAGGGATCCCGTCTCTCCTGGAAGCCTGGGGCTGACAGAAGGCCAGAGACGATGAGCCCACAGCAGGTACCAGCACTTCCCACCATGTTTCCCCAGGAATGACAGAAGCCACTTCCCTGCCAGGCTTCCCCAAACCACGTCCCAGCCTCTCCCAACCCCAGCGACGCAGGGGAACACGCCTGACCCATGAGCTCGCCCAGACAAAAACCTAAACCGCATCCCTCTGATCTCAAGGACAACCCAAAGTCTCGGAGGCCTTTCTGCCACAGCCCAGAGGGCCGGGTGATTGGGCATGCTTCCTCGCCGCGGTTCACTTCCCACAGCGCTCTTCCAACCCAGCCTCCTGGTCACACCGGGCCCCGCGCGCTCCGGGACACGTCCCATTTGTCACCACTGAAGCGCTTTTTACCCCGTTTACGACCTTCCCAACACACTGGCAGCGACCCGGACTGCCGCCTTATTACCTTCGCTTGCTTTCCTGATCGTTCCCAAAAGCCTGGTCCTCCTCCCCCTCCTCCTCCACCGCCCTCTTCCTGCTCTCCTTGATGGCGCTCAGCACCGTCTCCTTTGCACATGGGTCCAGGCTGCTGTTGGCCGGGAAGGCCACGGGCGAGATCAGCTGCTCCAGGCTGCGAGGCGAAGCAAAGCCTTAGGCAAGGGGGGATCCCCCCGCCGCGATCCCCCCCCGCCGCCCCCAGGGAAGGGGGGTGCGGGCCCTCCCGCGAAGCCTCTGCGGGAGGTCTGGGACCTGCAACCCTCCCCGCAAGGAGACAGGGACCGAGCGGCCGCTTCCCGCCCCGGAGCAGCGGGCCATCTCCCGCGG